TTGTTCGAATGTGGGGAAGGAGGGGGACCGTTTTATTTATCTATGTATAGCGCGGTATATAATTGCGCTATACATATATAGCGCGGTTATATACCGCGCTATGCATAACTGTCTTATCAGCCCTATATAGCGCGGTTTACAGTGACGTTATATATATATATATAGCGCTCTTTAAAAGAGCGCTATATATAAAAATGTCACTCTTTTTTTTAAACACACATTTCCGTCACACTTGTCCAAAAGAACCACAAATGGGTTCTGAGCTCGCATTGCAACTAATAGTTGATCATAAGTTGACAAAGTACTTTAAAGGGATTCGATTCTGCAGTAGGTCCTTTTCCTTAATTGAGATAAACAAGCTATTCTGTTGGATCATGTTTCTTTAGTGCTGCTTATGGAAACACCATTTACAGCAAGCTCTCAATCTAGCAACGTGAACCTAAATCTGTGGAATCTGCAAAAGATTGCCTGTAGCATAAATTTGTTGGGCTAAGGCAACCCTGGACAATCTCAATATGGTGTAATATTATCCGATTTGGGCTAAGCTCGCAGGATTTTCCCCGAAAGATATTACATTAGGAGTAACTTTTTATGGGCAACTCGAACTTAAGTAGCATCAAACCCATCACCAAGATACATGGAGTTATTTGGAGATTCACTGTATGTTACCAGTATATTCCGAGTATTTATGGCCATCAAAGCTCACAAGCGCACAAGTTTCTTTTTCTTACCAACTAGGTGAAGTATTTCTAGAAACATATAACACAGTTACACAGAGCTAGGAAGACATACATAACAGAGGAATGGAACTGTCAAAAGGCACAATGCACAAACAATTCCTTAACACGAGCTTAAGTTACCTTTCTTTCCATACAGTGTTTGAAATACCAAAACCATATATTTCGACAATAACACCTAGGTTCTCCAATGACAAAAATCAAAATTTGACTACTTCGGTAATGAACGTAAGTAAGATTGCTATACATATGTCTCAACAAAAATTCTTCTAGAATCCGGACATTTTATAAACACTTTTATTATTCCCAAGTGAGGCGTAAACACAATCTTGAAAATGTTCATATTATTATTAGGCATCGTCAATAGATTGGAAGTATTGTTCACAAGCTCTATTTGCAAAGGCATTTCTCGCTGAAATTAAGATCTAGACTTAGCTCCCTCGCAAAACAATTAGTAAACAGCTAAAGGAGATTAAGAACTACATTCATCATGGCGGAACCAGCATATCAAATTTATGGGTTCTGAAGTTGCCACAGAACCCATAACTCGTCTTAGTTATTGGATTCGTAATTAAATATTTATACATATTCAATGAATTTCTTAACACAAATACAGAATGTCACATTACGTTTGCGAGAACACATTATCATACTGGACGTGAGACTTGGCCGGATATGTGACAGAGCATGGAAAGGAGTACGTACTTAAGGGCTTGAGCATTCAAATTGAATTAAAATATAAGCCACACCAGAAGTGAGAAGGAAATAATTCTCCAAAATTTGGTCTGAGATATTAGTTGTAGTTCTCGTCTTTTAATATTCAGATTGTTCTTAGGAAGGGGGATAATAGTAACCATATACCCCGTATACTGTCGAAACAATGGTGAGGGCGAAAAGAAAAATAGCAGCAACAACAGATAAAATGGCCCAGGGACTCCTGAAGTAGGTGTGAATGAGATTAGCTCTCCATTCATTCCACGGATACTTGCAGTAATCGCTCACCAGCTTGTGCACCAGATCTAGACTGCTATCTGGATCCAGTGTAATGTCCTTGGATAGTGAATTGAATAGCTTGGCTACAGCGTTATCGCTGCCAATTGCATTCTGAATAATGCCACAAGAGTGTAGCAAGCTAACATCTTTGACATTGTCAATAATGTTATCCATGAAAAAGATGTATGATGTTACCTCATTCCCCGCCCCCACGTGCAATCTCTCAAATGCTATTAGGTTTAAGAACATTGATTCTGTAGCATCGTCCACCAGGATCAGAGGAAGCTCAAGGATACCGCCATGAAAGGAGATGTCCTTGAGGCTCCCGGTTTTACTCTTCTTAAACCGAATGCCTGCTTCATTCAGCTCCATGGCAGAGCGGATGATCTCATCGCCACCACTCTGGTAACTAACTTTTGGTGCTTTTCTAGGACGAGTCTTGAGCAACATGGGATCTTCCCAAAGTAGGCTCTTTCTGTACACATCCAATACATGCAAACACTTCCCAAGTCCTTTAGCACGGCTGTGAGGATTGCAGAAGTCCAGTATGAGTTTATTAATACATTCCTCGTCATACTGCTGAATGCAATCAAGGAGTAACAGATCACTCTGTGAGGAAAATTAGATTAGAGAAGGTTAATAATTATTTTTGAAGATATAATTAAGTAAATAAAATTGTACCCTCTTCTGTAACAACTTAAATTTTTAGATGAGATGATAGCAACTAGCAATGAGTCATTCTTGTCCTTGGTTTGGTTCAGATTACTTTCTTGTTTGATGCAGCCTTAGTGTACAGTCAAATCCAAACAACTGAATGATCCATTTTTAGGAGAAATAGAAGTATAGCACCAAATCAATTACTACCCAATAAAATTTGCCAACAAGTTCACACAATTCAATATGATATCAGAGCACTAAACTTTTAGATTAGATGGTTACACAATTCAATATGGTACCAGAGCATTCAGGGGCCTTGATTGCGAGCACGTGTTTAAGAGAGAAAGAGAGAGAGAGACCTTTGCCTCTTGATTTTCAATAGCGAGTAATTTGTCTAGAAGGAGCATAGGCAACTGATTTTCAAGCATGAGCATATCGCGCTTGAGATAAGGCATGAGATGGAGCTTTCCATGATTGCTGAAAATAGGATCATTAGGAGCATAGTCATGCGGTTGAGCATGCTGAGATTGATCTATAGGTTGACGATCATCATCAGCTGTTCTCAATATCTCCAACATGAAGCAGCCATCGAAAATCATCAAGCGCAAGAAGCCATTAGTATCACTTTGCCAAGCAGGATCCAGCGAATCATATGAATCTTTCAGCTCTTGAACTACTTGTTGTAAGGAGTCAATATAACACGTTAAAGGTTTTCCAGATCGCTTGAGGAAGTGAAGAAGAGCTCGGTGCTTGTGAACTTCCATTTCCTTGAGATGATTTTCTCCATTATGGTAAGGACCAAACGAAACTACCTGAGGCTTGTAAGCTTTCTTGTTCATATCTGTGACACAGACAGGCACTCTATAAATGGACCGCTTCTTCCAGTGCTCGGCCTCCACACTAGTAAGATCCTCGACGTGTATCAGCTCATCGTTTATCTTGATCACCCACTCATCTTCCATTTCAGATAGATTCAAGTACTATAGCATATATCAGGAGCTAATAACACTAGTATTTTTGTGACAGAACACTAATTCAGAGGGACAATTCTGAAACACAAATGATGTATTAGTTTTAGGGCCAGGAACCCATATACTTTGTGGACCCAATGGTATATCCTCTTTCCCTCCCTGCAAGTAAGCTCCAACATACCTTGTTCCTTCAAAATTCTTTGATTATGCAGATCTTGCCTAATGTTTTGGCTTTCTTACATTCTTTGCTTGTATAGAAGGATAATTCACAATCTTCAAAAGGATTTCTAGAATCACATATTCTCTTCACATTCACTTGCAGCTCTCTGTATTATGTCAGTACTGTAACATTCAGTTTTCTTGATCACAAGGCAACGTACATAAAAGCTATAAAGGATTTGATTCTCTGCTTGGAGAGTTGTTTTTATTTTCTAAGCATGTATATAGAAGCACCATATGCAAGTTCAAGAAAATATATTGATCTCAGTTGTTTCTTAGGCTATGTCTATTACCTTCCTTAGGGAAGCATACAAGTTCAGTAAACATGAGAAACCAAATTGCTTCTACCTCCTTTTTTAAATTGGTTTCCTTTTCCACTTTCTGGTAAGAAATATTAGCAATTTTGACCAGCCTGTATATGCTCTTTTTATCGCCGTTGCAACATATAATCACTCACAAGGCAACATAGTACTTTAAGGGGTCGTTTGGTAGGATGTATAATAATAATACTGAATAGGATATATTAGTTATGCTGAGATTAGTTATACTGAAATTGGTTATGCTGGAATTATTTCTTATTCATTGCTGGTTTGGTGTATTAAAAATAACATGCATTGCATAGGGGTGTATACATGCTTATCCATGTATTAAAAACCATGGTATTACTAACGTCATGGTTTGCTATATATTGATTATACGTAGGATAATACCAAATAGGGTGTATAACTTATTATTTTCCCCTAATACATCCTACCAAACGACCCTAAAGGATTTAAATTCTGCAGTCTGCACCCAGTTCTTTGCCTTAGCTTAAACAAAAGACTTATAATATTGTTTGTTGTTTCTTTGAAGATCACTCACTACTTATGAGAACACCAATTTTAAGTATGTTGTTGATATTAGCAACAACATAGCTCTTAATCTAGCAACATGAACCTAATGCTATTGTATCTGCAAAAGACTGCTTGCAGTATAAATTAAAAGGAAAAACTAAAAATAAAAGAAAAGGTTCTCCAACTAGGTGAACTGCTTCTGGAAACTGTCAAAAGCCACAAAAAGGAAAGCAAATTAACTATTACATTGAAAATGAAACCTTAACCCGATTGTGATATTATACCCTTGAATTCTACAATACAAGAGCTTAAGCTGCCATTCTTTTCATACAGTTTCACGAGCTCCCACATCAACTAGCTTGGGGGCACAAGGTTGGTGTCCCAGCAAAAGAAGCAACTAATGAATGAATAAAGTAAATATATTAGCCTAAAAGGCTAATTTACTCGCGTTATATGTACAAGCTCCTTTTCAACAATGTCTAATACTAGCTAAGAGGGTACAACTTGTCATCTCACATTACAGCACCGAGGTTTTCCTAGTAGCAACTTTCTCCACAGGCAGATCATTTGCCTTGGAGATTGATAATGTGCAGTGTAATAATCATCAATGCATCCAAACTGACAAAACTTCAAGCTATGAACGTACTCTACGGGCCTGGAGCTGTTGAACTGCTCTACCCACATTCCCATGCTCACGTCTTCCATCTTAAACAACTGCCAGCAGGTCAAAATATATGTTTATATGAATTTCTTTTTCTGTTTGGATTCCCATAAGGGACCGTCACCACTCGATAGGATGGTGCCAAATAATGGGGAGTCATGCACATTTAATATAACGTGGAGGGAGGGAGAAAAAAAGCGAGAGAAGTTGGTGTATTTCACAAAAGGTAACTTACCCTCAGCTTATGTTTCTCAAACTCGGAAACTATGTACTCTGCAATGTCAAATGAGATGATATAACCAGGCCCATTGGCATATGGTGGATAATCTTCTTCTGGCCATTCCTGCCAATCCAATCCACACGGGAAAAACTGAATGTCAGAAGCTAGTGATTTCACAAAAAGGGTTCAGGGAACCACATAAAGGAATTCATTATGTATGACAGAAAACTGCATAAGGTTTTTTGATGAATCCTCCTCATCGGCAAAATTGTATCAAGCTTCGTAGCTTTTTCTAGAATCATGGTAGATGAAATTGAAGTAATCATTAAAGGAATAGTGCTGTTTGGTGGGGTTTCTAATATAAGAGGTAGCCCAGTACAAGGCCCGACCGATCAAACAAGGAAAACTGAAGACCAAGCCCACTTTCCTATGTAGTCCAATTTCTAATGAAGGTGTCAAGGGCTAATCTTTTAGTTCAAACGTTGTATTAGTTGCCTCTACATGGATGAACTCTTCACTGTCACTCCAGGAAAAAAAAAGAGATTTTTCCTTATATTTGTGTAACTTGGACACTAAACCTTTGGCGATTTGAATCACTTAGTTGGAGGTTGGGCCCTTTTGGTTTGTTGCTGCCGCAATCCCATACTACTCAATCGGCTATGCGAATCCTATATATTCATTCCATCTTATTTAGCATAAACGATAATTCAGCAGTTCAAAAATGTTGTTGTGCTGCGAAAGAGTAAAA